GCATTCGGGAGCTCCCAAATGCAATTCAGAAATTCGGATCCTGAATGCCATTCGTGTCTAGGAGATTCAACTTTAGGCCACATTCACACTGCTTAGAGTTGGCCCGTACAGATCTGTGCAGTTGAATGCTCTCGCCTCCTCCCCGGTGTTGGCTCTTGGCTCAGTTTGTTATTTGATAGGAGTAGTGACTCTGCTGTCACTACTCCTGTCAGCCTGTAGCGCTGGAGTCAGAGGTAACTCTTGGTGGCCCAGAGACCCGGGAGGGCAAGCTAGTTGGCCAAATCCTGAGAGTTTCAAGGTTTAGGCTCCTGGGAAGCAGGAAGCCGGTCACAAAGCAGCATGCCCAGCCACCTGCTGTCATTACTGATTTATTTTGCTTTCCTCTAAGCATTCTGGCCCGGACCACCATGAGAAAAGCATACCTCAGGTATGAAACCACTATCAGTAGAATGTTCCTTGGATCAACAATATCTGGTGTTATTACTTGAATAATGTTCCCAGATCCAGAAAACGTTCTAAAGAGTTGTATCCTATGACACTCTCAATATATGGGAAGGGCGACATATCCTATTACACAAATTTGATGAGGAGGCATATCCTATCAGAGGGTAGACCAACACACAGTTGATGGGAGGGGCATATCTTATTACGCACAATGGGTTGGGGGAATATTGCGTTACGTACAGTGGATGAGAAACATATCCAATTACATACAGTTGAAGAGGGTTATGCCCTACGCATAAAGTTGATATGGGGACATTACACAGAGTTAATAGGGCGGATATCCTCTCACAGACAGTCATAGAAAAGTATATCATTTAGCACACAATTGATTGAGGGTATACCTTATCACTGAAAATTGATGTTGGGAGCATATCCTTTTACGTACATTTATGGGGGGAGCATATCCTACAACAAATACTTGATAGGGAGGATATTCTTTAATATACAGTTAAAGGGGGTGAATATTCTATCATACAAATGTTCATGGGGGAGCATATCCTATCACAGTTAATGGGGGAGCATATCCTATCACAAACAGCTGATGGAAGGAGCATATCCAATCACACACAGTTGATGGGGGAGCATATCCAATCACATACAGTTGATGAGGGAGCATATCCTATCACACACAGTTTATGGGGGAGCATATCCTATCACACACAGTTGATGGGGGAGCATATCCTATCACACACAGTTGCTGGGGGAGCATATCCTATCACACACAGTTGATGGGGGAGCATATCCTATCACACACAGTTGATGGGGGAGCATATCCTATCACACACAGTTGATGGGGGAGCATATCCTATCACACACATTTGATGGGGGAGCATATCCTATCACACACAGTTGATGAGGGAGCATATCCTATCACACACAGTTGATGGGGGAGCATATCCTATCACACACAGTTGATGGGGGAGCATACCCTATCACACACAGTTGACAAAGGGTATACCTGTCTGGACACGGTTGATGGGTAATGGATATCCTATGACATACAGTTAACAGAGGGCAAAACCTATCACACGCAGCTGATGGGGGAAATGTCCAATCATACACTGATTACAAGACGCATACCCTATCACACACAGTTGATGGGGGCCTTGTTCTTTCACAGAATTGGTTGAAGGCCTATTGTATCACACTCTTCTGATGGGGGGCATTTCCTATTAAACACAGTTGACGGAAGATTTGTTAATTTGTACAGTGAATGGGCCTATCACACACTGTTGGGTCTGTCCGATATGTATATCTTATCAGTTATCACACACTGTTGGGTCTGTCCGATATGTATATCTTATCAGTTATCACACACTGTTGGGTCTGTCCGATATGTATATCTTATCAGTTATCACACACTGCTGGGTCTGTCCGATATGTATATCTTATCAGTTATCACACACTGCTGGGTCTGTCCGATATGTATATCTTATCAGTTATCACACACTGCTGGGTCTGTCCGGTATATCCTATCACACACTGTTGGGTCTGTCCGGTATATCTTATCACACACTGTTGGGTCTGTCCGGTATATCTTATCACACACTGTTGGGTCTGTCCGGTATATCTTATCACACACTGTTGGGTCTGTCCGGTATATCCTATCACACACTGTTGTGTTTGTCCGGTATATCCTATCACACACTGCTGTGTTTGTCCGGTATATCTTATCACACACAGTTGATAGGGACATATCTTATCACACATAGTGATATTCTATTGCACATACAAGGTAAAGAGGATTATCCTATAATAGGACATTGATGGTTAGGATATTCTATTGCAAGTAGAAAATTGGGAGTAAATCTATCACATACAATTGTCAGGGTGGATATCCTATCACACACAGCAAATATGGGGACATATGATACACAGTAGACAGGTTGGCTATATGGTAACTGAATTGAGCTAAACACTGCATATCAAATTGAGATTGACACATAGTGACTACCAAGGGACTAAAACCCTCAATATTGTGATCCTTGCCCTTGTCACCTCCACAGAGTACTCATTCTTGGGTTTCTGAATAGCAAAATATTAAAAATAGATGTGGGCATCAGTATCTTGGATACACCTAGTCCGGTCTCCACTTAAACTTCAGGAAAAGATCAGGCAAACATCTTTTGACTTGGCTTGTGTTAGTAGCTAGCATTTGATTTCCCTTGCTGCTCGCAGTTGCTACTGAAATAATTTAAAACATATGTTTAATGAGCTATACATTTTCTTTTCTCTCATCGCAGTACTCAAATTATTCATCTTGAGCAAGAAATATATTTTTTTTTCAATGAACTAAGAATGCCAGGAACTATGTGCTGGTATTTGACCCACATTCCTACGTGGCACTGTTTTTTTTCCACGAACCCCTGGCGGAACAATTGGAGGATCTGGAAAAGTACTTCATCATTTTTCGGCTCTCTGTCAGTAGGTAATATGACCTGTCTGCGGAGCTCAGAGAGAGGCGTGGGACATGACTACGCTATAAAAGCTGTGCAGAATTTTATTTCTTTTTTTCCAAAGTTTTTGAAACTGGTTTTTAATTTATGAGACTCTTGGAGACATTTGAATATAAGGATTGTGGAAAGTGAAGAAGAAATATCTGGAAAAAAAGTCACCTTTCTTATTAATAAACTAAGTCAAATTAATATTCAGTATTCCCTACCCCAATATGGATCAATTACAGTTTCCAAAATATGATTTTTTTAGAAAATAGATCATTTAAATAATGTATAAAGTTTCAGCTTTAAGACAAACTATTTCCATTAAAAATAAGAAGCTTTGTATTCACTGAGGTGTTTGCAAGGGGAAAATTATGAAACTTAATACTGGGTAGAAAATAATTAATTTACCAAGAACTGGGTTGAGAATTAGAATTGTATGGACCTAATTTTGATTGTTATAATTAAGTAGATGGGGATAAATCCAATCTGTAGAAAAAAAAAACTTGCTCTATATCCAGCCGGCATGAATTGGGGAGGTTTGATTGGAATTTGGTTGGGATTCTGTCTTTTGGTCTATTTTTGAAAGGTGACTCGCAAATTTTTAATATAAATACAACCGAAGAATTTTAAATTACAGCGGAAAATATTTCATGAAATAATTTATAATAAACCTTACAAATTGTATGTAAATGCCATTAAATTATATCTAAAGCCAACACTTTTCTTTTAGTTTTTGACTCCAAAATGTACAATCAAAGAATTTTTATATATAGGTACAAACATTTTATAAAATAATTAATAATAAATATTACAAATTGTATGTGCATGCCATTAAATTATAATGGATAGAGTAAGAAAGGGTCCAAACCCTTGTTTCCTATTGGGGAAATGTACTTTCACTCCCTGTGTAACACTCACCTCTCCTGGGATGCAGCATGAGGCGGGCAGCCACAGACACCTAAAGTGCCCA